ATTTTGAATTTATTGTACTATTTTGGTTCTTGGTCTCTCTGCTTGTCACCAAATGGAAGAAATTACCGAGCTCGCTGGTGGCTGTTACGGACCTACATTTTTGGGCTTTGAAGCTTGAACAGGTATGGACGCCCCTTTGCAACCAGCAATAATAGATTCAAGGATTCAACTGCCAAAATGTAGATTAACAAACCTGTACATGCTGGCAATTGTCCCCCAAAATTTTAAAATTTGACCTGTTACGGGGAAATTTTTGAGGCTATATAAAATAGGTATTAGAGCATATTCTACGGCCAACATTAGCTACTTCAACCCATTCTATCACTAAAATGCCATTTATTTTAATAACATTTAAAAAAAAAAAAAAAAAATTTTTTTTTTTTTTTAAGTTCACGCAATAAAAAATTGCTTCTGGGGCCCCTCTGGGATTTAGCCTTCATTAGTTTCATAGTAGATCCACTATTGTGGATTGCTGCCACCTATACCCGGTTGTGTGACCATATTTAGTTGTCTAGTCCTCAGGTTCTTAGTCTGTGGTTAAAAGTGTTGTCCTAACTCTGATGCTTGTCCAAGTTAGTGGTTGGTTGCTGACTGTTTCATCTCTGACCACATTATATTCTTGATCTCAGAGCAGTAGAAAGTCAAATGTTATAGTCCCACTGTGCTGCTATATTAAGGAAAAAAATATATTCATGACAAAAATAAATAAAACAAGTTTATTCATGGAGTCAATCTTCAATTGGTTTATATTGATCTTGGTACAACAAAAATTAACTCTTCCTGCAATCAATCTTTCTAGTGACACTGAGCCATGTCTAAATTTTTGGAAGGCTGGGTTCAAAGTCTAGGAATCAGGAATTTTGGTTGACAGCTGGCATGGATTCCAGAAGTACTCAATGCAGCTTCCCAACCAAAGTCCTCAAGCTCCCCAAAGTCATCTGCTTATATACACTTTGGACCAAAACTGGCATGTGGCCAAAAGGTTCTGGAGGTTTGTTGATTCTTTAATTTGTATTAATTCAAATAAGGGTTTTGTTTGTTCCCTATTTCTGCTTGATTTTTCAAATTTGGAGAATTATCCACCTTCTTTGGGAGTAGTCACAGGAATTGCTTGTCTCTTAACTCCAACCTGCTTTACTTCGCAACTCGCACTGCTACTTTGCACAGGCAGGGCAAAATTTTACCCCTTCCTCCCTCCTTTTTAGTATTCAACCTCAGCCCACTTCCTTGGGCATGCATAACTGTCTTTGTGACAGATCTGATTTTTAAAATGCGTAGAAGGGGCAGAGTTCCATTCCAGCCATTAATTTTAATTCTCTGAAACTTTTCCATTTTCCTGGAACCATCTCTGTCCAGCAAAGATACAAACCAGATCAACTATGACAGAATTTATTTTCATAACTCCAGCCTTAATTGTACAGGACATCTGACCCATTAAGAGAAATTCGTTCTCATTTTAACCTGAGTGATCGCTAAAAAATTATTTTCCAAATCTATTTTTGTAAATTAAAATATATTTGTTTACCTAAATTCTCAACAGACACACTCGGTTTTTCATCCCTGAGCCAGCTGCCAACCTCAGTGAAAACCCAAACCAGATCACTCTCTTGATTGATTTTTCATAACTTCAACCCCAAGAAAAGGGGGTTCATTCTCTGTTTGTTTTTTTTTGTTTTTTTGTTTTTTTTTCACAACAAAAAATTGTCTTGTTTAATATTCGTCCACACCAAAAATACATATTTTCATTTACTTAACTTTCAACAATGTGATCATCTCCATGTACAAGTCAAAATGTATTTTCAAAGAGTTAACTTTTCTCCCCAAATTTATCTATTTTAAATATTATAAAATAGGCCTTCAGTTTTGGTCCTTAGTTGGACTATAAGTAAGCCTTTAGTATAGAATACTAGAATCATTATTCTTTCACACAAAGAATACCCAAAAAGATGAAATGGGGTGTTTGAAACCAGCCATTTGTAGTTTCAGCTAGATTAGCATTTGAAAATTTGATAGAGGTAAAACAGTTGAAAATAACACAAAAAATCACTCAAAAAAAGAAAAGTTTAAAATTCTTTAACAGTTTCTTCCCTTTGCTTGTAGAACTCTTTTCTCTTTTAGATCTTTTTTTTCCCTGTTATCTAAAATCCTCGAAAAATTTAAATGCTGCATCAATCATTATCATCTGTCTCCTTGAATCCTGCTCCTTTTATTGTCCTTTCTTCTGTTTTCTCAGTTTCTTCACTCAGTAGCTCCTTACATCTTAGTGACTTTATCACCTTGCTTGGGGTGAAATGATTAAAAGGTGTGGGGTTACCCTGGACTTTTAAATTTTGATCATAACCTAGAAACCCTTGAAGGTCACATAAATTTTGAAGAAACGATCTTGAGCTAAAGAAAATTAAATGATGGGGTGATGAAAAACACTTTCAGAAATATTCTATTTGGTCGAATTTTGGGATGTGGGTCAGTTGAACCGAGAACTTTTCAGCAGCACCTTGTATAATGAAGGTTAAAATATAATTAGAATCTATGTAAACAGTTTTGGACAAATATTTTTTTAAGAAATTGTTTATTTAGTGATGTATTTTTAAAATGAACCAAAAAAAATCATTGACTTCAATAGTTTTGGCATTATATGAAGTTGTTATAAAAATAGATTTTTATAAGTTTGATGGCTGACCTGAGGAGATATGGAGTGATTCTACTTGGTTAAGTTGTAAATAATTTCCATGTTTGCTTTTCAACTTTATTCTTCAAAATATTAATTACAATTACATTTTATTCACCATTATTTGCCACTAATCAGGCAGCTCTGACATATTTTGAGTAAAATTCTGCATGCTTTGATGAGAAAAAAAATGTTAAAGAGCACTTGAATCTGGTTTTAATAAGTTTTCTTTACTAAAACATTTTACAGCAATCGAAAAAGGTAATAATTGCTTAGTACATGGTCGAGTGAATACGGCAAATTGGTAGAAAAGACCAGCATTCAACATTTTTTACTATGTTGTTCTTGCTGGCTCACCGAACTTATTCAACTTATCAGAGTTGATTCTGAGGGAATTAGAAGTTCAACCAAGAGTCATTATTGATGGTCACAATCTTAACAACATAAGATATAAAGATGACAGTGTTGATAGCAGACACAGAAAGAAAGCTACAAAATCTTTTACAGAAGGTGGTGATGGAAAGCAATACAAAAGGACTAAACATTAATTGCAAGAAGATGGAATGCATGTTTGTTAGCAAAAGGAACAGCCCAACATGCAAATTACAAAATGGGGTTACCAAAATCAAACAATGACCTTAGTAAAACAGAATGTATGGATGTTAGCAAATGGAATAGCCCAACATGCAAATTACAAAATGGAGAAGCTAAAATCAAGCAAGTACAACAATTTAATTAGGAAGTGCTTTTTAACAGAGGACGGAAAGTTCGACACTGAAATCTGAAGGCACATTGGAATAAAGAAAGATGCCTTCCAAAAGAAAAACTTTGTTAGAAACAAAGAGTACTGAATTGCTATACAATATCAGTCCTCCTATATACCAGTGAATGCTGGACAATCTTCTCACAGATGATGAAAAGACTTGAAGCAACAAAAATGTGGTTCTACAGAAGGATATGGAGAATAAGATGGACTGAACATGTGAGCAACAACAATTTTAGAGAAAATGGAAGCAAAAAGGACACTTATACTTAAAAGCAAATAGAGCTAGCTGAAATTTATAGGGCACATAATGTGGAAAGAGAGGTTGGAAAATTTAACACTCAAAGGATTTATTGAAGGCAAGAGAGACAAGAACCTACCTATCTAGCAAGCTTAAGTAAATGGATGGCAGAACAGGGTTTAGGAGAGATAGCAAAAAGACAAAATTTACTAAGAGCTACAAAGAATAGGAAATTGTGGAGAGTTTTGATCGCCAATGTCCTGAAAGGACACAGCACGTAAAGAAAATACAGCCTTCCATTGTTTTGGAGAACAACCTTCTTTTAATCCACTGTATATGCTGCCACTGCCATACAAAAACTAAGGTATGTTAGTGTACTCTGAATTTATTAACTGCCATGTATGATTTGTTGGGATGACGCATTTGACATTTCAATTGTTTCCCCAAAACAGAAACCAACCTAATAATTATTCCCCTTAATTCTATTCATCACTTAACAGAATCTAAATCACTTGAGAACTACCGACCACAATAACTAAACTGGATAGCACAGATAACTTGAAAAGAAAATGGCATCATAAAGATGTTGACATTCCACACTACTTCAAATAAAAAGTTAGGAAGGAAACCCCCATCAATATCAGAAAGAGTGATAACAACTACTGAACTTGAGAAACCTATTTTTATGAAAGATTGTTTTAAGAGAAAGATTTTCTAAATTTCAATTGAAAGCAGTGCTGGCTGCTCAATAAATGATTGCCAAATGTTTCCATATAATGAAATGCTTAATATTACCATTAATTCAAGGGAATTAATCGTATAGGAATAAAAACTGGGACAAATTAATCATATAAGGGAGGTGTTTGACAAATAAATTAAAGTTCATTTTATTCAACATTTAAAAAAAAAAAAATAAAACTTTGCCATCCTAAGTTGTAGTCAAAGGAAGAGGACTCTAAAAGACAAGCATATTTTTCATGATCTCACTGAAAGAAACTTCAGATTTCAATATCTGATGAACCTGCATTCTTTTTGGCCATTAAAGGCATTTGTACTCTTTTTGGCAGTTATTAATCAGCAGTATTTCACTTGTGGTAAGGAGGGGGGGAAGCAATTTTATAAAGGTTTCTACAAGATGACAATATCTTTTTTGACTCTAACGAGAATCAAAATGAAAAAACTCTTGCTCAGTGAATGATTTGGACAATTATTTTCCTTTGTTACAAAAAGTACACTGTAGGAATGCAAGAATTTACATTCCACATTTTAGTTTTACACTGCAAAGACCTTTTGAATGAGAATTCTCAGTATTGTCCTGAAACTTGAAGACAATTTTAGTAAGAATAATCCATGTAAGGGTTCAAAATTTATTATTGGATTTTTTTTTTTTTATTTTTTTTATTTTCACTTTTTTTCTTTTTTTTTTTCTTTTCTTTTCTTTTCTCTCTTTTTCTTTTCTTTTCTCTCTTTTTCTTTTCTTTTCTCTTTTTTTCTTTTTTTTTCTCTATCTCTTTTTTTTTTCTCTTTTTTTTCTCTATCTTTTTTTTTTCTTTTTTTTTTTTTTTCTATCTCTTTTTTTTTTTTCTTTATCTCTTTTTTTCTTTATCTCTTTTTTTTCTTTATCTCTTTTTTTTCTTTATCTCTTTTTTTTCTTTATCTCTTTTTTTTCTTTATCTCTTTTTTTTCTTTATCTCTTTTTTTTCTTTATCTCTTTTTTCTTTATCTTTTTTTTTTTATCTCTTTTTTTTTTTATCTCTTTTTTTTCTTTATCTCTTTTTTTCTTGAACTTTTTTTTTCTTTGGCTCTTTTTTGTTTTTATTTCTTTATCTTTTTTTTCTTTATCTCTTTTTTTTTTCTTTATCTCTTTTTTTTCTTTATCTTAGTATTTTACGTCTTGTTTGTGGAAATTAGCTACCTTGTCTTTCACTTGAACATTGGCTAAATGTTTGAATTTAAAAAGACTTTCAAACTTTGTTTTTATATATATATATATATATATATATATATATATATATATATATAAAAATAAAATGTGTGCACACTTTGGTGTTCTATACTACAGGCCTACTCATGGTGCAGCAAAGGCCTGTTTCAAAACTAACACAGTTTCAGTTTGGTTTTGTGGTAGTTCACTGCTGTAGTTGGCTTAAGGAATTCAAAGACTTTTGCATAATGTATGTGGGGATGTAATGTTTCTGCTTAACAAAATTTCAACATTATGTATATCCTGTCTTTTATCTGAAATTTTCGCTTCCTCTTTGTCTTGTTTGATACATGCCAGTGCCTACACCAAAAATACATATTTTCTTTTGTCCCCAAATATTGGTTAAATTCCATAAGCATTTTCAAAGACTTTACTTTTACTTTCCCCAAAGATTTTTGAAATTTAAATATTTTGAAATAGGCTTCCAGTTCTGATCCATATTTGTACCATGAGTAAGCTTTTAGTATAGAACTCCACGATGCACACACATGCAAAAGGATTACTGAAATGTTTCCAGCACAACCAAGACAAACTCCCAAAAAATGGATGCTTGATCAGATTTTGGAAATGGGTTAGGCTATTTGTACATATGCACTCATGTATTATAGGTAAACACTTACAAAGTTTACACTATTATAGATGCATACATGCACTTCATTATATATTATGTATCTATATAAAGGGTAGGTATAAAACATACTTTAGTTTTGATTATTGTTTGCTTGATTTTTTTTTGTTCTTTATTTTCTAAGCATTTTTTTTCCTTGTATCTCATTTACACGAAGAGATGGACACACAAATTTTTTATTTGTTTATAATATTTTAAGAGAGAAACAAACAAAAAAATCTCCCTTGATTCAATTGTCATTTTTCTTCACATCAGCAAGTATACAAATAAGGTTAATTTCAAGAATTAGTTTCCTGTTTTGTCTTTTCGAATTTTTGTTTTGTCCAACTCTTCCGAATTTCCTCAACAGCTTGTTGAACTCAAGATATTTGACCCCCATACTGCAGGTTTAATTCTGTGTCACAAGGGGTCCCTTCTCCATAATGTTGGGAGTTTCTGTACTAATTAGTTTCTTCTTTATTCACAGACGAAAGGGCAAAGAAAACGGAGGCTATTCATCAAACAGGTAATACGCTTTAATCCTAAACTAGGACGATCTTTAAGAAGGCATTATCAACAGGTTTCCTCTGCTCATAGCAGGACAAATTACATGATAGGTGTTTTGTTCTTTCTTGTTAGCATTTTGCTTGAGATAACGGAACATGTTAGAAACAGGCTTTCAGCATTCTCCTCTCAGTATTGTTAATTTCTTTCGAAGGTGATAAAAGGACAATCTTGTTGAAATTGTGGCTTGTTTCCTAGCTTTTTTTTCCTCTCTTGTTCTTTGCTTTTTCTTTGAAGACTACAAAGGTTCAGGTGATCTAAACTTTATTTCTGCTATGGTAATTAGCCGCGGCTTCTTTGTTAGCTTTTCTGTTTCTTCTTAGCATGCAAGAATATCTATCTAGCCTGCAGAATCCACAGGAAAAGGACAGTCTGGTTCATATATAAATCTCACACAAGAAGCATTTCTAATTGACATTTTCAAAAAATGGATGAAAGTAATTCCAAAGTATTTATTTCTTCAAGACATTGGTGATTATGGCTCTCCACAGCTTCTTTTTCTTTAATATTTGTGAATTGCTATCACTGTTCTTGGGATTCATTTTTAATTGCTTTTTCCATTGTTTGAATTCAGAATCATCTTTCTCCACAATTGGTTACCCAACTAAAGCTAGGGAATCCAGTTTTCCCTACTATTTTACCCATAGTTGAAATGAGAAGATTCATGCCTTTCCCAAAGGCATTAATGCTAAGTAAATGTTTTCACCAATTCAGACCTTCACAGCTAAGACTCATCATGCCGCATACATTGGAAAGAATCCTCCCCATTCCCTTTAAATTCCATTAGTAAGAAAGAAGTTCCATTTGTGTAGCTTCTTCCAAAGAGCTACTGCTTTGTGAGACAAACTCCCAAGGTGATGCTCCCCAATCACTACAATCTTAATCTCTTCAAATCTAGGAACAACTGTTATCTTTCCTAAATATCTTCATGATATGCTCTTTAATCTCCTTTTTATGCCCATAAAGCAACCTTGAATGGCTCTTGGGCCTTGCATTGGGTGAACAATTAGTATAATAATAATAATTAAAAAAAAAAAAAAAAAAACAGCAATCCTTGGTTAGAATTCGAGTTTGAAGCAAAGGAAAGCTACGTTACAATGGTGAGAAAGTGGCAGAAGCTGAGATGTGAGGTCAGGTCCAATAACCTTGCCAATTCTTTGGATTTTGTCAAGAATTATTAGATGTAAAATGGAGAGCACCAAACCTGGTGTGGTAACAATGGCCAATGTGCAAACAAACGGTAGATTTACACTTGTGCAAGATAGATCTGGTAAGAAAAATTGTCTAACACAACATAGGGAATTGACTTTCTTAGTACCAGACTTGGCAATTGATTCAATATAATCATTCCACTTCATGTCAGTGGAAAACAGGAGACCAAGAAGGCACAGTGCATTGCTCTCCTGGAGGTTAGCATCAGCCATGCTGATAGATGGCAAAATAAGTTCAAGTTGATAGTAAGCAGTTTCATTTTAGAGGCATTAAAAATAACAAGCCATTTCTTGTCCTTGTTAACAACAGATTGTGGATTATTTTTAAGATTTAACTGCCAATTTAATTTTGTTGAACCTAGCAGATATTGTCAAAATGAGAAAAAAGAAAGTTCAATAAAGAGTATCTGTCTATATTTCTGAGATGAGGTATTATGTACACTATTTACATTGTTTGGACTATCATCCTCATCTTTGTTGCCATATTTATTACAATGTTTTAGCCGTTGTACGCTCCAGCTTTCTTCAGGTGGTTGGAATGTCAATAAAGAGCTTCCAAACATTAATAGTCCTGGGTGTTAGTACCTGTTCAGATCCCATTTTGGAGCAAATAAGGAACCTCCAAACAAAAACAAAACATGAAAGTATAAAAATAAATATTTATAGCAAAATAACCAGCAATACATTTTATCTGTAGTTGAAGGCATGGGTTTGCGTTCAAAATATCTAGTTTTCGGCTTTGGTTAAAGCAGATAAACTTTAAAATGGCCCAAAGTTGATATACCAAGTGACTGAAAGCAAAAGTAAATAAGTTCAAAAATATTTGTAATTTTCTAAAAAAAAAAAAAAAAAAAAGCCTCATTATTTCTACCTGATTTGACAACACCTACATCTTATGTCCCAGCAGCAATGAGTGAATATAGAGAAAGAAAATGCATAAGAAATGCAGTAATATCAGTTCTTGTTGGAGGCAGACTTAGATGTCATGCAATAAATAGACATTCATAGAAGGAGTGAATAAATGAATGATATCTTGTATATCTCCTTGCATAATTACATAAAACCCATACACAATAAACAAAACAACTAAACCAATCATAGCATTAATTGCAAGAGACTTGAAATTGCAGCACTGTGTATGACTCCAATGATGACCTTGTTTTTTGTGTTACATGGACAATTCATGTGTTCATCTGGATGATAGACAGCATAAAGGAATGCTTCCATTGTCCCAAAACAATGGCCTCATTGTTAAGTGTTGGTTTATGAATTTTATGACATAGTGGTTGTGGGTTCAATCCCTGGGTCAAGCAGTATGTATTTGTACTCAGTTGAAACAAGTGAACAATAACTGAACAATACTAAATAAAAATAAGAGCAAGACAATATCCCTAGACATGAACAGTGGAACGCGAACAGTATACCCTGTAGATTAAATAAAGGGTTCAGAATTCTCTGTAGGTTACCTATATTGATATACACCTGAGGAAGCACAATAGCCAAAATGTTGGGATAACAACAACAAAGATGAGGAGAATATTCCAAATATAAGTAGTGGAGATAATAACTCTTCATCCTGGAAATTCAGACTAAAAATATATTTTTTCACAAACACATTCCAATTGAAGGAATTGCTAATATGAATTGTATTCAAATCCAGGAAGTAAATTCAGCTCTGCTTCAAGTCACTTGAACACCTTCGTGTTTATTTTATGGTTATTATTAATATTTTTTTAATATGTTTGTTGTCTTTGTTTGTTTTTTTTTGTTTTTTTTCCTTTCCTTCAATTTTTCAATGCTTTAACCCTTTAGAATTCATCACACCCAAACCCACCCCATATATATTGTTTCTCAAAGACTCACAGCTAAGTCTCACTGTTTGTGTAACTTCCTACATTATTTGCGATGATGTCACATGGCAGAGTATACATGGAGTGGATTACAATTGTTTGAACATTGAGAACTGGTATTCACAGGTGTATTAGGGCTGGTTGAATGCTAAAGGGCTAATTAACAATTTTCTTGTACTGTTAACATAATTTTTTTAACTGTCTCAAGTTACCAATTGCAAAATTCATGCTTTATTAACTTTCCAAGCATCTGATGTTATCCTATAAACCTTTTAACAATCTGCATTACTCACAAATATCACTTACTCTCCCACTTTCAAGTTTGTTTTAGCTGTTGCTATAGCAGGGCAAATCTTTTACACAGCTAATGAAGCCACCTTCAGAATGTTAAAGGTTAATATTTGCTTTGTACAGGGGTGAGCTTCTAAAACAGGTAATGTAGATAATGTTTATATATGTACATTATATATGTTCCAAAGGTTGTCATTGCCAGGTTGGGTAGGGGATAGTGGGGACAAGATTTCATTGTCTGTAAAATTCTTTCATGACATCTGTCTTAAATAAACTCTAACAAGTAAGTTCAGCTCCAAACTAAAGAATGGGCAAAGGCAGAAAACTGGCATCTCATAACCAGCTGCTTCGGATAAATGGGACCTAACAGCCCAG